GTGCGTGTTGTGAAACTCGCACACTAAGTTATGATTCCTTTGTGAAGGGTCCGATTGTACAGGCCTGGGCTACCTGGCGTCTCTGATTTTACTAATGGCGAACACGATGTCTGATATATCGACGTTGAAGTTGTATTCTGATAAGTAAGGTGCCCCCGTTGGCCCCACATTCCTATCGAATCTGGCTCTGCTGATGGGTCCACGAGGATCTCGTCCTCGGTCTATCCTTCGATCGTTGCGAGGTGGATTGTGCCTCGGGGCGTTCCTCCCATCTTCGATGTATGGTTGATATCTTTCTTTGTTTAGTTTTGGCTCATTTACTAGGAGCCTACTTGGGTATACTGAGCCCGAGGGGGCTCCCAACTGGTCATCTTAGGCTCTGATTTTTGACTGGTACCGGTTGTGGACGTCCGACCAGGTCACAGCTGGATACTCGATCAAATTTTGTTTCAACTATTTTGAAGCCACCGAGCTTCGTTCATTTAGACATTGAGTGAAAGCCTGCACTGCCTAGTCGTCAGAGACTAGCGGCAGCTCCATCCGTTCCATTTGAAAGCGAGATACGAATTCTCGCAGCATCTCATTCTCACTTTGCTTAATTTTGAAAACGTCGGACTTCTTCGTCGCTACTTTGATGGCACCGGCATGTGCCTTTATGAAGGAGTCTTCTAGCATGGCGAATGAGTCTATGGAGTTAGGAGCTAAGTTGTGATACCACATAATGGCCCCCTTCGAGAGTGTTTCCCCGAACTTTTCAGTAATACAAACTCGATCTCGTCGTTCTTTATATCGTTGCCCTTTACCGCGCAAGTGTAGGCAGTAACGTGTTCATTGGGGTCTGAGGTCCCGTTGTAGTTTGGGAGTTCCGGCATTCTGAACTTCTTTAGAATGGGTTTCGGGGCCGCTTCTTCAGGGAACGACCTTTGTATGAACTTCTTCGAATCCACACCTTTCAGGACTGGGGGTGCGCCCGGAATCTGGTCGACCCTGGAGTTGTAGGTCTCGACCTTCTTGTCATTAGCTTCTATCATTTTCTCGCCCGATTCGATCCTTTTGGTGAGGTCCTCGAGCAATTTTATGATGACAAGGTTAGTTGTCGACCCGTTATTGCTCGATCTCCCCGGTACATGTTGGGCGGGGGGAGTTGTCCTCGGAGCTATCGTGCTAGGAGTTTTCTGGAGACTTTGCAGCTGAGCAATAGCCAGTTGTTGTGCCTACAATATTTCAAAAATAACATGAAGGCTAACGTCACGTTCTTCCCTAGTTGGGGTTTTCTGTGTTTCTTGTTGATCCCCTTGGCGCACGCTCCTGTCAGTGTGGGAGCTTATGTCGATGTGTTGGGCGTCGCGTGAGACCGTTTCCATGGGGACCGGCTCCGGTGCATTCCTAGGGTTTTGTGGTGGCACAACAACGCCTGGAACAGTCACACCATTTTCCCCATGGTCCTTAAGATTGTTGTTTTCATCTCCGTTTACTGAGTTAGACATTTTGACCTAAAACCGAAGATCTTGGACAAGAAAAGCGTGAAAGATAACTTGCGTTATGTAGTAAAACCAGCAAGAAAATAATCACTATTATTTTTAGCCCCACAGTGGGCGCCAAACTGTTTACCGTGAAAATGGTAATAACAATCAAATTTGTTGATGGGACTCTAAAAATACGTGATCTATTTTTATGCTAGTTTGTTAAGCAATTGATGCTAAGTATATGAGATTTAGAGACGAAATAAAGTTAAGGAGGAGATATAACCAAACCGATAGGCTAGTTACTTGGAACCTCGGGCTTGTCAATTCTAGGCCTCGAGGTCGATCCTGGGGCTTGGCCATGAGCTGTTGAGGGTAATCGGGGTAGGGCTAACAATTACAAGGTAATTAAAGAGGACTCTTTATGGCCAATGATAAGCAATAAATGATGAACAAATATGAAGATAATAAATGAAAGCTATAATAGCAAGAGAATATATGAGAGAGCAAAGAGAATGTTCTTTTATATTTCTTATGGAGCGGATGGAGCAACAGAAGTGACCAACCCTTACAAAGTGATAGGGATCCCCTTTATATAGGAGGGAAATCCCATCATAGTACAACAAGCATTACTTACAAAGATATAGAGATGTGACCACTAGATGACACCCTGACTCGGGTCTTAGAGTAGCTCTCTAGGCTCTGTCAGTCCTAGCCACGTGCCTTGGGAACTCCCTGCTTCCTCCATGGCCGTGGTTGACATTATCACAAGACTGAGTGTCGACGAACCTTGAGGGAGGAGTCTCGATCGTATCCTTGTAGCCCCGGGACTTCGAGACGGTCTTCTGAGGTGCTTTGATAATGAGAAATTGGACCCTCTGATTTCACCGTATACAATCTTATTAGTAGATTATTTTTCGTTTCTACTTTCTATGTGGGACTTTGTTCACACATACGCAACAATCTCCCCCTTGAACTAAGTTCCACATACAAAGTAAAAAAAAAAGAATCTACTTGTAAGGCGTTGGATACTCTTAATGGTGTGAAGCCTTTTAGAAAGGGGCATTTACATTTATATAGTTTTGGGATAATAATTGAAGTTATACCCCACTTTGCACGAAAATTTGTAAGTTTACCCACTTTAGAATCAACTTTAGACTTATCAGGTCTGAAGTTGAAAAACAAATTAGTCTGAAGTGCAAATTGCACTTAAGATGCACTCAAGGCCAAGTAGGTATGAAGTGTAACAAATGTTTTCATGCACTTAAGGTCAAATAAGTTTGAAGTAAAAAAAAATTGTGCTTAAGATGCACTTAAGACCAAATAGGTCTGAAGTGCAACCATTGCTTTCATGCACTTATAGCCAAATAGGCTTGAAGTGCAAATTGCCCAGAGACAGAAACTTGTTCTTCGAATTTCAACAATCCAATACACAATTTAACAACTAAATTTACTCCAAATGAGCTTAAATTTGAAACATAACTTCTAAATATCATCAAGAACAAATCACCATCATCAATTTGTCAAAATAACAATACATCTAACAAACTCATTTTGCAATTAAGAAGAAGAAAAAGAAAAAGAAAAAGAAGAAGAAGAAGCCCTAAGCAATAGTAAAAAATGAAGCGCCACAGCATCTCACTACTATAAAACACCATAAACCACCTTTAAACATGCTCACAAACACTATAGAAATTCATCGTCGCCTTTGTTTCACAGCGAAGAAGAAGGAGAAGGAGGAGGAGGAGGAGGGGGGGAGGAGGAAGAGGAAAAGGCCTAAAGGCGTTTGTACTTTGGGTATTAGTAAAAAATATTTTAAAAAGTAGCTACAAGTTAAATGGGGCCGATTAAATAGGGCATCCGTTGAAATATTTACTTTTAGAAAACCATCTGAGTTTAGCCCAAAGCGGACTATATCACACATGTTAAGAGTATCTTTGGGCCATTTTAGCCTAATAACTGGTATATTAGAGCTAATGGTTTGGCGGGACGAGTACCAGAGTAGCTCAATGAAAGCGTGGTCTGCCCATAACCCACAGGTCCCAGGATCCGAACCTAGCTCTGATACCAATTGTTGGGCTAAAACAACTGAAAGATACTTTTAACATAATGTGATATTGTTCGCTCTGACCCAAACAAGCACGATTTTTCCTAAAATGTTTCACACCCTTAAGAGTATCCAGCTTCATATAAGTGATTTATTTTTCTTTACTTTTCGTGTAGGACTTTGTTTAGACACCCAACAGTGACCAGTGTGGTTAGGAAATAATCTATTAACTTCCTCATGCTTTTAGAAGCCATAGATTGATACTCCTGCCAGCATTGAGAATGCAAGAAAACCAAGAGAGAAAGATAATGGACAAGCATATATCGACTCTGCATAGCGCCTCCCAACATTACAAGCTTCACTAGTATCTTACATTATACATGTGTCTCCTTACTGTGGATCGAATGTAACAAATCCTGGAGATCAAGAGTCAAGACTGACATGTCATTTCCAAGACTGGATGCACATACCATTCTTCAGTCTTTTCCACTTCTACCAAATTTTAAATTAACAACTTGACAAGGAGAAGAGTATCTAACACTAGTTCCAATGGTACTTTACCCTTCCGCTAACATGGAGTATAAAATTTCGACCTTGTAAATTACACGTTGAGGGGGGTTTTCTTATTTGATTTACGGTTGAATTATTTGAAGATTATAATTTATAATGCGTTGCTATGAATAATAACACAAAATTTGTTATGCAATTTACTAATAATATGCGGACAGTAATGTAATGATTGCCTAATTTAAGGATAGTTTTGTCTTTAGATGCTCTAATTCACGTCTTGTTACACAATATTTTTATCCTGCATTGTTTCTCGTACAAAACAATATATACATTCATGTATAATTTATACTAGAATTAGTAATACATTATCTGGTTTCTAGTATTAAACTCAGCAAAGTTATACGAAGTTTAAAACCTGAATACAACAAATCAAACGTTATATTAGTTACACAAAGGTTATATCAGTTGTGAAGATTTAAATTGTAAACTAAACGTTTAAGTAATACGAAATTTTATATAGAAATTAAATTTTCTTCAACTCCCAAAGATCCCTCAGTGTACTCTTCGCTCAAATGATTCATAATAGTGAAAAGCTCATCCGGATCTTCACAAAACAAATTACCATCTCCCCAATCAATGATAGAATCCCCATATACACATGAGAGACTAAAAGCCTTTAAATGGTAAAAGCAATTTTCTTTCTGATCTCCTAAGATTTGACTCCCAACATTCATTGCTGAATTCCAGAAGAGCTCAGGAAGAACTTTGATGACAAATAATGATTAATGCATATGCATTAGGTAGGATCTCAATAAATGATTTCCAGGTTTATGTACCAATGCCTCTTTTTAAAAGTTGAACAGACTTTACCAAGGCAGTAAAACGAATAAAAGGAGACCATAAAACCAAGAAACAGCAGAAAACAGTAAAGGATTGATGAGATGAAATCTATTTCCAATCTAGTATTGCTTCATTGCAAATGATGACTGAAACATCTCTCCCATCTTTAAAAACTTTAGCTTTCACATCCCAAGATCAGAAAATGAGAGGCAAAGTTGCCTTATGCTAATAAAAGAAAATGTCATTAGCCTACAACTCTGCAAGATAAGGTCCCAAGAAGAGATCTTTCTAGACCATCGAGTTTCCCCCAGCACTAGCTTGTTTTTTGCTGACTTATTATGCAGAGCTAGAAATACGAAATCAAACATGGAGGTGGTGACATATGAACCAACTATTTCAGGTAGTTGAAACTCTAATGCGAGAAAACATGCAACAGAAAGTAGTCATCTGATACAACTTAGTACTACAAATGGGCATACCAGTAATTTAGATTAATAATCAAGCTTCAAATTCAATGAGCACCCCTATCATTCAAATGGAAAAGAGTTTCTGCAAAAAAAAAATAGAAGGGAAAAGGGGGGAAATTAAAGAAAACTGGCAATTCCAAATATTCAGTTATTCTTCAATAGTTGATACAGAACTTCATTCTTTTACTGTGTAGCAATCGACATCACTAAAAAGGTATCAATATAATTCGGTTGTGAGTCTATCTGCAAGAAATTTTCTACTACAGTACCTATGTACAAAAAACAGCTAAGTATTACACCTCTCGAGGCTAAGCTACTGAGAGAAATCGGCTTTTGATTACTACTATGCCTATAAGATAATCAAGTGGAGGAATAACACCAGATGTAACAATTACTGTGTATCTACCTCTCCTAACCGACATCAAGCCAGAAAAAATATAAATACACAGAGAAAAAGTATCAAAACAAGAAAAAATTTAACCATGAGCCACCTGTTTGATGATATTCGATTCAAGTACTTCAACAAAGCACCTTGTGCACCTTCAACATTTGTCAATGACTCATCCATGTTATCATCAATCCTGCAGATATCAATCGGGCAATTTAGTGATAAACCGAAGTAGTAAGGCAAGAACAAGGAGAACAAAATAACATATCGCTAAGTGGATTTCAACTTCATGTTCCTACTGAAAATGTATAAATAAGTTGCTTTCTGCTTCCCCAATCAAATTCTGCCTTTTAACCTTCCCCAAAATATGTCCATTTTGCCTAAAGGAAAAATTTATCGATAGCAATTTTTTTTTTATGACCGAGAAATCCGTCTGGGGCCGATCCTTTGGACCAACCACAGCCTTCAAAACTCGGTGGATAATGGGCCCACCCCTCTACCCTTCTCCACTTAAATACCAGGCTTTGCTTTGCATGGTGTGGGGGCTTGAACATGTGACCTAAGACACAAATCTACCACCCTTTATCGATAGCAATTCATATGACAATCTTTCAATTCTTGGAAAATTGTGAAGTTTTTGACACAATTCTGCTAAAAAAAATATCAATATAAAAATTTCAAAATCGAAATTCATTAAACTAATTAGATTTTAAGCCTTGATGTGATATTTTCTCTATCAAACTAACTTTTCAACCTTGACTTCAATAACTTTATCCGCTCTTATAGAATATAAAAGTCAAAAAAACATGTTAAACTCCATATTAAGTCAAATTCTATGAATATAAATGGGGAGGGAGTATATACCAAAAAGTATATGCCCCCCTAGTTTTTCAATCAGTTTATATGGCCTATAATTTATACTTCTCAACACCATTTTTTACTTGCTTAATTTTTGATCTAGCATCTGGTACAGATATATTAGATTTTTGTTATTGTTCTAGAAGCTATATACTAAACATCACCAAACCACTCTTTCGAACTAAGATAAAAATTGACCAGAAGAAAGATAATTAGAAAGATCCCAGTTATAGAAGAATACTGTCGTTTTTTACACAAATAGGTCAAACAAAATGAGGCGAGAAGAACTTCATACAGAATTCAATGCCATCAAAGTTAACATTCTACGTCATATGCAATTTCAGAATTCAATCACTGAACTAACATTTGGGTAGCTTTTCTCCAATTACATGCTGATATTACATTGAATGTAATTGTCAGCATAACGTTTATTTTTCTTGCTAACTTCATGATAAAAAATCCCCCACCCCACCCCCAAAACTGGGAGGGGCTCAAACACTGGACAACAGGAAAACGAAGGTAACAGGAAATGTCTGAGCATTTGAAAGCAAACCAGAAATTTGTATCACATTGCGTGTGTTGCTCATACTTATGATCAAACTGGTGAAAAGACTAGCCAGAGGCATAATAATGATTTTGTAATTTATTCTCAAGCAATCTAGGATCCAATATCCAAATCGCCAAAAAGTATTACAACCTAATTAAACTTCTTCTTTAGTCCTCATGAAACTCTTATTCAATACTAGGATAGTTAAAGACCTACAAGATTTAACTGTCCAACTAGCAGCCAAGCTACGTCAGGTGGCAGGTCATGTATTTAACAGTCTGATTTGCTGGGACCAGTCAGATTTAGTTCCATTGCTGTTTGCTCCCAACTTCTTCATTCAGATTAATAGACAGATAGACTTGTCATATTTCTTCTTCCAACAACAGTACTCAATTTACACAAATGTATAGTTTAGAGATCATAGATTTATATCTAACTATAGCAACATATTTAATTGGGTGTTCTTAGTCTGTGCACCATGTACACCATTACTAAGGACCAGTGACTTTTATCACTTCAAGATTAGTTTTCTAGTTGCTCTGTTTCTCTCATTAAAAGAGATCTGATTTCCACTGCTTTTCTACAATTCAAGTATCTTTGATTCCGTAACAGCAGCAGCCACAAATTTTGCAATTCAGATAAGAATGCCGTTTTTATAAATGATGTACAATAACCAAAGGTGATTGGGCCAACTTATATACTTCTAATATACACACAGGAAACATGAATTCAGCCCCATTTTGACATAGAAATAAATTCTGCTTCAACGCCCTTTCCATCTAGGGCTCTAATCACAGATAAATATATTTGTTTAACATATTATCCAACAATTAGAGTGCACAGAACGACTGACAAATGTCATATATTTAGGATAGGAGAGAAAGCAAAGACAAATTTTACATGAAATATAAATTTTTTTAAAAACACACTCAAGGATTTTTCTACCTGATAGCAAGCTCCCCTTGCTGTGCAACCATTGTAGCTAGATGGGTGAAGATCCCACTCAGTTCTGAAATAGTGGATTCAACATTTTGAAGAGCACTTGCCCTACTTTGCGAGTAACTTTCTTGTCTTGGAACCACTTCTTGTAACATGGACATTTCCATTTGGTGAGATGGAGGATTATCTGAAGCCAACCTCCGCCTGAATATGCAAGGTAAAGACCAGAATATTTGAATATACAAGAAATTTCAGCATAATAAAAGAAGGCAATATTATTGTTTAAACACCTGAAAAATCAATCAGACTCAGTTTCCTCACCCTAATAGAGAAGAAGGAGATGATAAGAGGCAAGAAAGAAAAATCCCCTGGCACTAACCTCCAATTATTGGGTTTTTTTCTTCTAAAATTGGACAAAGTAGGAGAGCCAGAAATAAAGAACACTGTTTTATCAATCCAAAACTAGGACAACAACAACAACATATCCAGTATAATCCCACAAGTGGGGTATGAGGAGGGTAGTGTGTACGCAGATCCTTACATCTACCCTGTGAAGGTAGAGAGGCTGTTTCCGGAGACTAATCCAAAACTGGAGAAGGAACTAATTATGACAAGCAGCATACAAGACGATAACCAGTAGGGAAATGATATAGGGGAAAAGAGAATATTTTAGGAGATCCCCTTAAGAAGAACCCCAAAGAGATTAATCTGGTATTGCATGAGTGCTTTTTTTTTCCTTCTTCTTTTTCTTCCCGGTCATGTTTATCGGGAAAATCCTAGGTGGGGTTTGCTTCAAAGCAGGTGAAATTTTCCCAAAATTCCTTTTTTCAGTTTTTATATTTATCAACCAAATGCCATTAGAGAAAAGTTTTTTAGCTTTTGAAAATACTGAAAACCTATTCCAGGTCATTCGGGGTTTTTTCCGAAAACTGAAGTTTTTTTCTAAATGGTACTTGGTTATTTTTCCCAAAAAAATGAAGAAAAAATCAACACTTCTTGAAAATAACAACCCTAATTATCATCATCAGATGTGATTCAATATCCTTTTTTTATTTATCTTCTACAGGTATGTGATTCAATATCTTTGAATCAAAGCAACTACACTTGGAACTTTTGCATTCACATACTCCTCACTTGTCTTTGATGAATAAGTCGACAAGAATCCATCTGATTCATCTTATTATTTAACAAAAAAGAAAGGGATTAAATAATGTAACCAAAGCTTTCATATGCCATTTGTAAAGCGAAAAAACAAGCACATTATTTCAGCTATAAAAATTGCTTGCAAATTGGATTTTCTACATGCTCGATGCAAAGTCAAACCAAGCACTACAGGAATATTTTCTCCCCACTTTATGTAACCCAGTTTGACATGAAATGAAGCTTAATAAATACAATTGACTGGTCCATGACATGCATAACGATTGAAGCATATCATAATTGACAATTTAGTACGATTAAGAAAAGATTAAGTTACAGTTTAGACTTGCTTCTGCAATAAATTTGCAGTTTTCACATTTAATCGTTATCCGTAGAAGTAGAAACGTGTGGTCCTAAAAGAGAATTTTGTCACATGAATGGGGACATAGGGAGAAGCAAATATAAGACATAGAGCGGTCTTTGGAACTTACCTTAATTGATTACTGGCCTGAACCCCATTTGCAGGTAACCTGATTTGCATGGAACAAAAGGAGAAAAGAAAATTAGAAAGAGCTGGCACTGACTGGACAGAGATTCATTATCTACCAAACAAGATCAAAATGCCTGTCCTAGAGATAAACTTACAAAAAAACAAAAAATTGGAAAACCAAATGCACACATATCAAGAGTTAACTAGCATTAAGATCAGAATCCCCAATGACAAAAGACCCATAACTTGTTCAATAATTTGAAACTCACTTCTATCCTACAGCAAAAATATATCTACATCATCGAGTCAAATTTACATATGTTATAACATGCAGATCTAATTTCAAAATCTAACTTCTACTCCCTATGTCAAACAACTAGCAAACTAACTGATAAAAAAAATTTTGATAAGTAAATGTACTGAGTACTGACTAAATCTGTCAAAATTATAAGCATTTTGCAACCAGCCATTCAGTTGTAACAACAGTTTACTTACATAACTTAATGGGATCCACACGTCTCAAAAACCTATCATTGTGATCAAAGTCACTTCCCCTACTAAGCCAGGAAGAGAAAAGTATGCTTACACTGATGACTCTGGACCACCTCCTGTTGGAGGAGTTGACCAAGGGGGTGGCTCTGCTACAGTCTTTTGAGGTTGCCTCAAAGGGTTTTCTCTTGCGAGATTTGTAGAAAATATTTGCTTCCGATCCTCATGTGCTTTCATATTCTGCAGTGAAAAAAATAAAATTCTTGAGTTAGGCGATGAGTTGTCTACTTCAGGGTGCTAAAATGAAAAATGGTAACAGCCCACTTGGCATCAACCTTTGTCCTTGTAGTTAGTGCGTCCTGGAAAGATTTTGTAGCAGCCATTAGTCTGGTCTTCAAATCATCACAAACAGCAGTACAATGAACAACTCTATCTTTTGAATGAGTTCCATCAGCTACCTCCATATCTTGGAGGGTTTGTAAATCAGAAACACCTACGTTAAGTGTCGTGATATCATTTTTTATCAAAGCTGTTAATTCTTGGATTTCTTTGCTTGGATCGTCAAAAATGGATGATCGTTTTGCCACTGTATTTTGATCCAAAACATAAAGTCTGAAGTCAGCTAGGCAATTGGAACTTTAAGCAAATGCTACAAAGCAAACATACCAAAAGAAAATGATGATTCACTTGCTTTATATGAAAGTACCAAACTCCTCACCCAAGTGAACCATCAAAAACAGAACAAACTGGTGCAAAAGCACTAAGCATCGAGAACACAATTTTCTCTATCTTAAAGTGAACATCAAGGATTTTCTATGTTCTACTTAAATAATTCAGCAATATGGAAACTGATCTCTTATATATAAATCAAAATATTACTGGGTTACAGTCCTACACTTACTAACATATTAAAGAAACCAAAGTTATCAGTGTATGTCTACAGCCACTTCATAAAGTAACAAATATTCTAAACCAAATCAATTATTCGCCATGAAACTGAACAAACTAATTTCCTTTGTTTCAGGAATCTAAAAATCATAACTAAAGGAACACTTTAAGGAACATCTGAAGAATTTTCATCAGCTCTGCCTTCGATTCCGTGTGATTGAAGACCTATTGTGGTATCCCGACTGCACCCCAGGGCAGAACGTTAAATTATAATAGGTGAACTAAGCAACAACAAGGTATGATTTCTGTGCAATGAGCGCTAGTTGGCTATATTTAAACTCTTCTCATCCAGTACGATGCAAATATGAATAAAAAGTAAAAGCACTGTATATTTCTAAACGTATTAAACTATGAAAGACTAAGGCTAAACCACTCATAGAATGCATAGGACTACGGTAAAAGTGCTAACTTCTAGAACATATATTTCATTAAATCCCAAAATTTACAAGATAGAAGCCTATAATGCTCATGTACTCAGTTTCATTGGCTAGCAGGAAAGATTTCAGTTACAGCTGAAAATCAAGCTACAGATAATTTGACAAAAAATCAATTAGCATAAATAAATTAAAAAAAACACGGAGATCAAGATGCGGAAACATACATTTGGCGAGCCTATCAATTTTCTGAGAGGTTTGGTGGATGCTTAACCCAATTTTGGAAGCCTTCTTGTTAAATTGGGATCGATCCGGGGTAGCTGGTGATTTTGAGGTAGAAGCGGAAAAATTCTGTTGTGATTGATCAGGAGCGGTGGTTCCTGCAATCTTCTTCAATGTTTTGGACAGAGATTCGAACTCGGAAGTTCGATCTCGGTACGTCCAAGCTCCAGAAGACGCCATTGACATTTGATAAGGGCACAACGAAACAATGCTATCTAATTACAAATGTTGGTCATGATATGGCGGGGAGGGATCCTTGCCGGTGAGATGCCAATGTTGTGGGGTTAGAAGATGTATTCACGCCATGGAAAATTGGAAAATATGCTGTAATGTTAGGATTTGCTTCATAAATTTGATCTAATTTTAATGGAGAGTTTACTGCTTGTTTGGATGGTTGTTCGTGGTCGTATGTATTGTATTGTTATCCTAAAATAATATTTGTTTTGATTGTTTTATTAAAATTGGTTTTGATTATTTTGTTAGAATTGGTTATATTGTATTGTTAATCCATTATTTCGGAACAGTGAAAAAATTATTTTTTGAAACAACTAGTGGGATTGTTTCCTATTTTTCTTTCCAATTATGCCCTAACTTATTACTCCACAATTCTATTTTACCCTTTATTTTTATTTTTTTTATTTTAACTCCAAATCTCCAACATATAACCTATTTTATTTTTTTCTAGACCATGTTTTGCCGCCTTTTGTTCTATTTTTTTCCTAATTTGCTTTTAACTCAATTCTAATTAGTTTTGCTCCTTTGTTTTGCCTTCTTCTGTCTCGCTTCTTTGTTCTGCTTTCTTAAGTTATTTTGCCTTCTTCTGTATTGTTTTTTTTTTAAAAAAAAATTTAGGCGTAATGAATTCCTGGCCACTTAAACTTGTATCGGTTTGTAAAGCCGATACATGAAATTATATTTTTCTCATTTGAACACTTCAACTTGACGGAATGGATACTAATAAACACTTTCTGTTGAACGTGTTCGCCAATCACTCGGACATGAATTCCATGTCACATATTTGGTCTTTATTATATGACATGTGGATTTGTGGGTCCTATATTATTAGAAAAAAATTTAATCTTTAAATTTTTTTTATTTCTTTTTCTTTCTCTTTTTTCTCCACTTCATCCCCACCGCCCCAATCACCCTCCGTCGTGCTTCCATCTTCCCCGCCACCCATTTATGCAGAATCCATGTAATAGAATCCAAGATCCGTGAAATTTTCGTTCCTGCACTCAGTTCTACTATGACTGGAGGCAAGATTGTCAATTGGGTCAAAGTTGAAGGTGATAAACTTGCTAAAGGTGAAGCAGTTCTTGTTGTTGAATCAGATAAAGCTGACATGGATGTTGAATCTTTTTATGATGGTTATGTAGCTACTATTATTGTTCCTAAAGGTGGGTCCGCTCTTGTGGGCTCCACAATTGCTCTTCTTGCTGAATCTTAAGATGAAATTTCACTTGCAAAGGCGAAAATTCCGACATCCATTTCGAATTCCAGTCAAGAAAGGACTACTCCGGCTGCTTCTGTAACCGAAGAGGTGGTTTCTCCGGTAGCAACAGCAGCCGGGGTTTCATCATCCAATGCGAGGCCCGCTAAAATGTGAAAAAAAATATTTACCCCCAAGAGAATAAAATCATTAAAAGAACAGGGAAATAGGTAAAGGAGGATTTTGCATACTTTACATGAATGATTAATCAAATGTGCAATGCTTCCCGCCCTTGTGCAATACTTTACATGAATGATAGAAAATGAAAAAAGTTTACAGGACGGGGAATTCGTTTGGGAAGATGAAAGAGGTAGGAGGGGAGGGGAAAAGAGAAGGGGAAAGAGAAAGGTCTTTTTTTTTTTTCTTATTCATATTTTATTCTATTTCTAATATTTTTTAATAAAAATAAAATTATTCACGCGTCTTGGCAGCATGATTTGCACACAATTTAGCCATGTCAGCTGTGCCACTTCCACATAGGCTTGGACAATGGTCAAATGTGTTTATTAGTATTCATTCCGTCAAATTGAAGTGTCCAAACGAGAAAAATATAAGTTCATGTATCGGCTTTACAAATCGATACAAGTTTAAGTGGTCAGGAAGCCATTACGCCTTATTTTTATACATAATTTTTGATAAATTTAATATTTAAACAATTAAGGTATTTTAGTAAACTTATCAGTCACAATATAGTACGATATAGTTAAACCAAACAACAAAATATTATTTAACAATAACAAATAATACAATCTATCCAAACATTGTATTCATTAAATGGTAAGGTACAATCCGATACAATACAATACAATACAATACATTATAAAACGATGAGGAACAATGATCCAAACATAGTGTTACCCTTTTTTTTTTTTGGTTTCCCATTCGGTGCCCGGTACCCGCATTGGAGCCCGACTATATCCGGATTCGCACCGTATAAGGCCCCATTCGGGGAGTAATGCTCCCTAATAAGAATTTTTCCATATCTAGGGCTCGAACTAACATAGTGTTACCCTTGTCTGCTCTTAACTTTACATATCCATTGAGAGGACACGCATGTTAAGGATATTATTTAATTTGTGAAAATCATTTCTCCTAACTTTCTTTTAAAAATTTCAACTTTAAATAATTAAGGTTCTTTTCCTCCTATCTCAATAGAATTTTTAAAATGCCCACCATTTAGATTATCAATCGTTATCTTTCTCCGTTTTTACTCTTTCTAATATCATGAGATTTTTAAAATAATTTAATTTAATTTATAGACTTACCTATAAAATAAATAAATTTTATTTTATAAATAAAAATGGTAAAGATAATAACCAAACACATAATTTGATAACATGAAATAATAAAGTAAATTAGCAAAACAAAAAGTATAATTAAAATTATTTACTTGTATCAAACTAAACTCAAAAAAAAATTATTTATACAATTGAGAGTAGAAGAGTATCATAGTAAAAAATATAACAAGTTCATAAAATAGACAAGGGCATACAATATAAGCATATAAGCCATACGATGTTATACAATTGAGAGTATATATAAGCATATACTTAATGCATATCATAGTAAAAAATATAACAAGTTCATAAAAAAAATTATTTATTTATACTTTAAATGAATTTAATTTTAGTGAACATAAATTACAAGTAGATAACATAATTTAAAATAGACAAGGGCATAAAATAAAAGGATGAGAATATCATATTGTTTATAGTTGGAGGATGAGATTGATTTTTAAAGTAAGGTGAGAGACGTAGGTGATTTTCATCCATTATAATATGAAGATTACAAATTATTTGGTGAATATATGTTGGGTGAAATATTCGCGGGAAAACCTATTCGCATAGCATCATTTAGAATATAGTATATCCTTAGAAACTTAGATTACTAGTTCTTCCAACTAAGGAGGAAATTCCTCTGGCTCTTATTAACATCGTATCGGTATATTTAATGAATTTGATCCCCGGGATTTGATAGCTAATATCACCAAAACAAAAATCCATCGAAAGGGTCCCTTAATTGACTTGCCTATTTGGTCTCTCACCACTAAGGAAGTCTTTATTATTAAATCTTGTTATACACCGCTGGAATCTCCTAATAACACTAACTTAGACTTTGAGTGAATTTGGAAATTGGAATATCCCAATAAAATCAGATTTTTTCTATGGCAATGCCTTCACAATCGAATTCCTTGCAGGAAATACCTTTCACAGATTGGACTAAACGTCGACCCTAACTGTCCAATCTGTAAAAGCCCTTATGAAGAATCAATAAAGCATATCTTTCTCGAATGCAAAGCTGTCAGCAAACTCTGGACCGACCTTCAAGGGAACCACCTTATTAACCAAAATGGGAAACATTGGCTTCTCCAAATAAAGGACTTCAACTTTCCTATCAAACATGATTTCATAAACTGGAACACCTACTTTCCCTTCACCATTTGGCACATCTGGGTTAATAGAAATAGTAATAACCATAATAACACTTCCAACCAAATCAGGGGTTATCAAATTTTGCAAAGGCCATTGAATTAAATTACTCACGGAAAAAATCTCTATTAATCCTCCCAAATCACTTAAAAAAATTAACTGGTTCAAACCCTTTAGGGGTTGGTTCAAACTGAATGTGGATGCCAACTTTCATAGCTATAACCAAAATTGTGGTTTAGGTGGTGTTTTCAGAAATGCAAAAAGGTAGTTGGGTAGTTGGTTTTACAAAACTAACACATGCAAATGGCTCACTAGCAGCAGAATTAAAAGCTCTACGATAAGGTCTAAGAACAGCAAAGGAGTGGAATCTCTTCCCACTTGAGATAGAGACAGACTGCTCAGAGGTAATCCAGGTAATACAAGCTGGTAATAAATTATTTAATAAAACTGTTAATGATTGTAGGTCCTTAATGCACCAGCAGAGGGTTACTCTCCAGCACACTTTCAGGCAGGGGAATAGGACTGCCCATCAACTAGCAAAAGGGATCCTAGATAATGACAATCAAGTTTTTGGAGTGGCAGGAGGAAGTAAAGCACAGAAGACTAGTAAAAAAGTTTTTGTTGAACCACTTTTTGATGTAATAGATTTTGTGGAAAGTGATATACTTGAATCCACTATCCATGAAAAACTACTATGTAATAAGCTTACCAACGATTAGCAAGCTTAGGGAACCAATGCGTACTCCGTGATGCATCTTATGTTGACTATGTACTAGATGTTCCTTAGTTATTAATATATCTATTTCTTGTTTGCTCAAAAAAATGAATTTGATCCATTTTTACTCGGCGAAAGCTTTGGTCATTGCATCGAATAAGAAGAAACAATTGATTATCCCATAAATTCCTAAATCTCTAAAAATTAATTTTTTTGTGCAATTAAACTCAATATCTATAAAGTCCCATAAACTTTATATTTACTTTGGTAACATTATGCTTAAATAACATAAATGAAATTGAAATATCATTGGTGAAATGAAGGAAAATGGCATATATGAAATTAAGGTATTGTTGAAACGAGGGATCATTAGTGAAATGAAGGAAAATGGCATAAATAAAATTAAGGTATCATTGGTGAAATAGGGGTATCATTAATAAAAATAGCAAAGTGTGAAATATGAAGTATCATTTGTGAGATATAAGAAAATGCGACCGAACTTATGTCACGACTTAAAACCCAACTCATCGTGATGGCGCCTATCATGGAACTAGTTCAGCCTCAACTCAACAACCAACACAATAACAATAAGTTTGAAAACATTAACGGAAGCTTTTAATAGTTAAAGAAACTATTTGAAACATAAGAAATTCCAAGATAAGATACAATCCAGCCCAAAACCAGGGTATCACTGAGTGCATGAGCGTCTAAGGAGAACATAGTCTAT